TTTACTTTTCTTTTTTTAATACGGCAAGACGTTATGAGGTGGCGAAATATCTAAGTAACGATGGAAGTGAGAATATGAAATGGCATGGAAATATATGGTTCGCCATTTTATCTTTACGAGAAGTGTCATATCGCTTGAAATGGAAGCTGTAACTTTGGTATTGCCTGGCATTGAGTAAACGAGCGACAAGGTACGTTTCGAATAATACCCAAATCTCGTCGAGTCGTATGTTTGGCGACGGTGCTGCAATATCGCTATATCATCGTATAATGTCGCGTGCCTGTTTAAATATTTATATGTTTATCACTGGAAGCGACAATCATAATCTCCAATATCAACATCGAGCAATGAATTTTATATCTTATTCTCGACGGAAATTACATATTTCAAAAAATCATTTTTTTAGCACATGTATATTAAAAACTTTTTGCTACAATAACTTTATGTCGATTTTATCGTATATAGTATATACTATATAGATTGTTGTAATGATAAAAATTTATGCAATTCGCAAAAGCGGATTTAACCAGATCATCGTAATAGTATCACTGCGGGGATATCTCGAGTTTTTTAAATTATCTTTTAAAACGTTTTACGTAAAAATGTTATTAAAAAAATTTATATTTCAAAGTTTTATTTTTCTAAATTTGCACAAATTATGCTAAATTCAAACAAATATGAAAGAAAAATATTCTCTTTAAAGTTATTTCTAACTGTGCTTCAAGTGTCGCGTAATTCAGGTCTCTAAATTATGCGGAGTTTCCGTATTCTCATTTTTATTTTCCGGCTTATTATGCAAGTAGTAATTAATCTTAATAAAAGTATTTCCTGTTAGCTAATTTGTTGATCTGATTGTGCAAGGCAACGTTGCTGTTGCATTTATAGTTAATAAGACTTGCTCTCAGTAACTACAGATTTTATATTTTATTCAAATGTATTCTGCTGCTCTCTCGCGCATTTGCTTAATTCAATACAGTTCTCTGTACACTAATCATTCTATGGTCTTTTATGCAAATAAGGTATGAGTTAATCATTGAATTTTTTCAAAATTACGTAAAAATTATTCTTAAAATAAACGAATAAAAATATAATAAATAGTGAATTTAATATATTGTCACACATAAAATATCTTTTTTCTTTTAATAATCTTTTCTATGAGGACGGCTTTTATGAGAATTAAAAGTGTATATCATCCGGCGCTGTGATATAATAAAGGTATAAATTTAGAGATACGAGAACGAGAACATATGAGAGAGAGAGAGGGGGGGGGGGGGGGGGGGATGGGAAAAAACATTTTTCGTCAGTAATTGTTGGAAAATGTTGCCTATTATGACAATTATAACAGGAAAGATACTTTTTGATATTTTCCGCGTATATATTTTGTTTTTATTCACACGTTTTGTACCATTATACAACATACCTATACATGTAAATTGAGTTTTCAATATACCTCTGTACATGCATATGCAAAATATCAGAATATGAGGTTGCGAATAAATTATCGTACGACAGTTAAGAACAGAAATGCCATGCAATGGGGAGCAATAAAGGTATATGAGATTCCTTGATTTGAGAGTCAACGAAAATCGAGAGAAGAGAGCGCAATGTCGTATGTCCAAGATTGAAACACTAAATCTTGATGAGAGAGCAATCTCGCGGAGCGCGAAAAAAAGTGGATTGGATCGAAAGTCATATTTGCTGACACAACACACGCAGCCCGCGCATATATGACGGCAACATTTCTCTCATATTATCGTTAATTATATCTATCAAGAGGTTTAATTCATTTTGTAAAATATTAATTAATTGGAGGGAGTGGTTGAGGTATACCGCAGATCATTTTATGGCGCTTGTCAAATAAATTAGTTTCGAAGTGCTATGTGCACATATCAAATGTATTACATGTGTTACTTTATACAAATGTAGGTACATACATGTTAATTTGACATATGCGGCTTTTCCACTTAACATTATTTGTGCAACATTAACATTGTTTGTTTAATTGAAGTCTAATAATTGCTCAGAAACTTTTTGGATAATCGTGGGAGAATTAATGTCGACTATTTAGAGGAAAAAGACCTTCGATGCTCGACAGATTTGCCCACCACAGACTTGTAATGATTATTCTTTTTTTCTTGACTTGAATTTGATGTGGTGGATCCCTGCTGTAGAGTTTATCAGGGAATTGTGGTCGGCTCGATTTGCCGGCGGGTGGCAGCAATTTCAATTCTACTAGGAATACACCGCGATCGCGGTACGTCGCGGAGAACAATGGTCCCGGTCCCGAAGGAGAAAAATAAGACGCGGCTACCAGACCAGAGTGGAGAAACGAAGGCAATAGATACTACGGCGCAGCCATGTTGTTCCAAGGATGGGGGAAGAGAAAAGAACAAGAACGAGAAATGGGGTGAGAAATGGATTGTGAAGGCTGTGGATGAAAGGAGGTGAAGCAGTTAGGGAAAAACGGCGCGACAGCAGGGATATCGTCGCGACGAAAAGCGAGTTTCGAGATGAAACGCGACGACACGGTGAGATGATGAAAAGCGGGAAGAGAGAGAGAGAGAGAGAGAGAGAGAGAGAGAGAGAGAGAGAGAGAGAGAGAGAGAAAGAGTGGCTCTTTCTTCTTCACTTTCCTAAGCGAGCCTCGATTCAAAGGAGAATTTAATTTATGCAAATTTATAATGCGCGAGCACTTTGCGGTTTACCCGGTGAAAACCGGTTCAGCGCCAGCGGCTGGGATTCATCGTCGCGTTCGCTCGAACTCGGCGATGGCGATGGCGACGCGACGCGACGCGACGCGACGCGACGCGCGACGTTTTTCATTCCGAAAACGAATGGTGCTGGGAAAATGGTGACGATGGAGAGCGTTGATACGTGCCGCGGCATACCACCGGGCTTAAAGTGTCCGCCGCATTATCGCGAAGATGCGGCCGACCGCTTCAGGCATGCATGACCACGTAAGCGGGATGTGGGTACCGTACCGACTTCGCTGCATTCGTCTCGTTTCTCGCTCCACTTCCATTAATTTCCGTATTGTCGGGAAAAAAGGATGGAACGCGACAGAATGTGCGAGCGCTACAGTGTCCTTATGAGATTTATTACGATGGCTCTCTTATTCACGCTGTTTTAGATTTAATTTCAAGCTCGAATTCGTTGGTCGCAATGAATTAGCAGAAGCTACATTCTTGTTGCACCCGCGAAATTCATGTTGTTTAGCGGTAACAGTTGTCAATTGCTTTCTCACGCTTCCGTAATGTCGCGTTCAATTGGTTGACTATTGTTGGAAATTGTTTCAATTTGCAATAGCGATTGGAACGAGTAATTTGCAGTGCTGTCATGTATAGTTGTTTGAGGTCTCGTATTTGTGTTTAAACTTGTCGTATATATTATACTCATAATGGATAAGGGCTACTTATTCTATTTTTAACTATGTTTTTTTGAATAAATATATATTTTCAAGTTACACATCCACATGCACATTTGTTTCTATATCATGATACTAACGAAAACGAATTTATATAAAATTTTTGGCTAGTTTTATAGAAATAAAAATGTTAGGTGATATTGTAGGTAGCAGTAGTTGAAAACTACGTGAATTCTGCTAACTTGGGTAATTTTCTCCCATATTTTCTCTACACCTTTTTCTATGAGAAACTTGGAGACTCTCTCTCTCTCTTAAATAGCTTTTCTTTCCTTTTACGATTTCAAATCCATCTTGTATATTTGCTCTCAGCTCAAAACAATTTTCATATCCTTTAATCTGAAAAAATTATTAATTTTATAACATTTTAGAAGCTTAAACTAACGTGTATTTGTCCTTTGAATTAAGCATAAGAAAAAAATATATTCAAGAGCTACTCCATTCTATAAACGATATAGATATTTATTAACTTGGAATGTTTATAAAATAAATTATAAGCTATGGCGATATAAAAGTATAAAGTACAAATAGAAATATTAAAAATTGCATTCGATATCAAATAATCTTTTATTTTTGCGCAAATATTATTTTATTTTATTTTAAATGAGGGCTTTTCATTATATTAGTATTTATTCAATTCTTGCATAAAGCTATAGTAATACAATATAATAAAATTTCTGACATGAGTGCATTAGAAGTGACACGTTAATGGTATTGTTTGTAAAATTTTTACGTGATAGCAATAAAAACACAGAATACTTTGAAAAAAACTGAGAAATAAAACTTCGCATGCAGTTTCATAGTTGATTCTTGAACGTGAGTAAATTCTCTAGAGTAGTTAGACTACAGTGGACAGCTCACCAGAATTGTTCATTTAGATTACTTTTTAAGAAATCAAATTAATTTCTTTTCGCATATAATTATGCAGCAATAAATTTGCTATATTTTCAGATATTGAAATAAATTATTTACTTATCTGATAAATAAACATATTTATATAATTTAGTGAAGAGATAGTATTAACAATATTAGCATTACTTAACTAACAAAAGTGTAATTATTTTTATGAATTACAGTTGATATTATTTTTATAATATCATACATATTTTTTATATATTTATTAGTGAAAATGACTTGAAGTAAAAATGAAAGTCTTAATTAAGAAAATATTTAAAAATAATTTTTTTAAATAAATCTTATACAATATAGAAGATTTTAACAAGTGAATTTGAGAATCGAGAACCAGTTTCGACTTTTTCTCCGCTATATCTCAAAAACTAAGATATAAAATAATGTTTTATACAAAAGTTTTACAATAAAATTGCCTCTATTTATTCAGTGATATTTTTTTAGAATATTTATTTAAAAACTTTTTTTGAAAATTTCGAATAATAATTATTTTTTAAAAATATTATTAACGCAAATGAATACAGCTAATTTTGTTATAAAACTTTTGTGTAAAACATTTTTTGATATCTCGAATAGTTTTCGAGATATAATGGAAAAAGCTGAAAACCGCTTTATACATAAGGGGTGATTTCACTCCAAACCGTTTTTTTGGCCACAACTGATATTTTCTAAATTCATCTCTTTATGTAAGCTATAAGTACACAAAGTTTCATTAAAATCAGAATTTAACACCTCGCGAGGTTCTCTTGTAAGTTCACATTCCTTTACATGGATATCTTTTCATAGCCTTACATACAATATATTTATAGCAAACACAAAGTATGACTTTTATTTTGCATCCAATATAAATGTATATAACCTTATACGTATCACATAACGTAATTGCTGCATCTCTCGTTTTATTTACAATTATTTTCTGCACGTGTACACAAGTTTACTTTGCGTAGGTTCCGGTGTCTCGATAGCTTGACTCATCCTATGATTTATGTATGACAGCTCTGTCATAAGGTGCTCGCAAAATTAACTTGTTTGAAAAGGGTACCAAATGAAGGTATGTGACATTTTACTGTCGCACATTTTTGTTTCATATTTTCGGGATTTGTTCTAACTGCATATATGAGACTAAAGATTGACAATAGCACTGTATTATACAACAATATCAAAGAGAGAGGGGGGGGGGGAGAGAGAGAGAGAGAGAGAGAGAGAGAGAATTTAGATTTGATTCATACAGAATAAAATAAACATTTATTACATTGTGGGAATAATTGATTGAAAGCGCATATAAATAATGCAAATAGTACATTACAACAATTATAATTACGAATGATGATTTATAATACAATTGTTTTTATTTATGTATGTGTATTATTTATGCAAACAATACAATTATTTATGTAAAGGAGTATACGTGATTTTTTCATTCTAATAAATTTTAGCACAGTTTGAAAAAGTAGAAATAAAAATTTATAAATTGAAATAAAACTAAAAATACGATACTTAGCAACTTTATCTTTCACATGATATTTTTCGTATTTTCCATCGTCGTTTTTTGAGTTTGTAATATCCTTTTTACTGACGTCTTTTCGTTCTTTTTGTTCGTCACGTCCGTCTCATTCATTTTTTTCTTTCTTTATTTTTGTATTTAAACAGCATCTTTCATTGTTTTTTTTGTGAACATCTCTTGACCACCATATTTTCAATATAATGCCCCTTTTTTCTTTTTTCCTTGCTTTTATCCGTTCATATGAAATGTTTTCGGCTGGTCCATTTTGCTATTTCAAACTACTATTCTCTGAATGGATTTCCCAGTTATATGTCTTATTTCTTGAAGTTTTTCTCTTTCTATGTTGTTAATTTTTAACTTGTTCTGTACATCTAAAGAATCTCTATCCTTTTATCAAAGCATAATCCTTTTACCAAAGTGGATACAAGAAAACAAAGTATACAATAAGAAAAGATATGCTTTTATCGTATACAATTCTAACATTAATCTACAGCATGCATGAAAATATCCGTTCATATATAAATAATTCATATTTGAACATTGTTATTTCTACTTTATCTCTTTCATTTTCGTTTCCGCTTTATTTCTCTCTCTCTCTCATTCTTTTCATTGTAAGTTTCATTTTTTTATTATTCTATTTATCTCTTAAAGATGCTCGCGCGAATAAACTACTTTTGAAGAATGGAACGTAGGGGAAACCGGAGTCGGTTATCACAATTTTTGATTAGTGATTTTTAGAAAAAAGTGAATGCCTGATTTTGAAATATAAGTTATAATATACCTACAATCCTTTAGGTATTAAAAAAATATTACGTGAATTTATTATATCGTAAAAATAAGTTATTTAATTTTAAATAAAGCTGCAAAAATGTAACAATTAATCCCGTGTTCTGGGTTGATTGTCACATATTCTAGGATTGGCAGTAGCATATTTGTTATGGACAATATACAAAATACAATTTTTATCTTAATATCAGTTCTATATTTTAAGAAATAATAGTAATTATGGTATTAATATATATATACAAATAAAATAGTTATTTTAATCATAAAATATTATTAGTAATTTGTTTTTGTACCGTAGTTTCTATATGAAAAATGAAAAAACATATATATAAAATATAATATATTTGTAAGTATATTCTCTAAAAATGTGTTCTTTAAAGATATTAAAATTATAGTTGTCACCTAATCTCATCTCATTTTGATTGGTCAATCTACACCCCACATAGCCATTTCTAATAAAAAGGATTATATTCACAAACTTTGTCAGGATAATGATTAATTAATTGTAGCAAGGATCTTCTAAGACATGTCGTTTTCTATGAATACAGGGATATCGCGATTAATAATGCTAGAGACTTGTCAGACAACAAAATAGGCGATAAGAAAAATTTTCCTACTAACTTTATTTTCTTAAAAATCACTATAAATAATATATACAACGCTTGTGGTGCAAATCATTTTACACAACAGATTAATATTATATCAGTTATCTACAGTAAAAAAAAAAGAGATTTTTCTGCTATGTTCTGTTTGAGTTATAAGCATTTTAACAATCAACCCCGTACGACAACTAGTCCCGGTCTCCCCTACACTTTCATCCGAGAGTGAATTTGTCAGGGGAATATAAAAGAGGACTTAAGCGAAATTTAGTAGCAAATCATTCAATTATTTTACCATTTCGAAGGCAGTGCCGTTATTTCCTACCGCAATTATTAAAAGTCAGTGTTAAATAGCTCTTGATATCATTCGATATATCATTTATTAGTACTACTTAATAAAAATGTTGTCACATTTTAATGTAATATGATTATTGACGTACTACTAACAATATATATATACAATATACAATATACAACACATTAACATTATTATGAAAAATATACTGTATGTTACCTTTATAAACACTTTTTTCTGCAATATGAAAAATTTTAAAAATACGTTGGTACGACGATTTAATGAAAAACGCGTTAATGAATAAGGCGTTAGTAAATTGGAGAATGATGATTTCGGAGCCACATGAAAGTGACTACAGAATTTCATCGGGAATGCGTAATGATTCACATGGAAAAGCGAGTAATATATTAAATTTATGAGGGACTACATACAGAATAATAAATGAGGCAGATATGCTGCATATTTTAACGACCAAAATGAAATTACCTTTGATATATTTCTGAAACCTAAATCCTAAGACCCTAATATAATTTGAGCTTTTCTTTCGTATTAATCCAAAATTGGAGAAACGCGCGACAAAAAACCTGATTTGCTACTATACGACATCAGCTGATTTTTTATAAGATAGATTATGGTGTACATTATAGATTTAAAAAGGAATAAAATAACATAATATTAGTCAAACTTGCAGTATTAAAAAAATAAAATTTTTGATTAGAATTTTAATATAACATTAACTTTTTTTTTAAAGTGTCAAATATTGCAAAAAGCCATTTTTTTCACATATTAAATGTCAATTATTTCGGAAATCTGACGTTCTGAGGTGCGTTTTAAAACTTGACTCTGTCACCGAATGTTGAACAAGAAAAAATATACTCGGAGTTGACAGAGTCGACCCTTGGAGGGTTTACGGCACCACAGGTGTGTTTTCAACCTTGAAAAATTTATAAGAAACACCTTGTATGGTTCCAAGTAACTTTTTGTTGTAAACTAGTGTTATAATAATTTAAGTTTAATAATAGTAACAGAATAAGTTTAACATTTTATAAAAGCTATTAAGTATTATAAAAGATATTAATAATTTTTCGTATCTCTTCAAATTTCTCATCTGAAAATTTTCTGTAGCTAGGAAAATAATTTTCATATTACGATAATATAATATCATACGCGCATCATTGTTTGAATAATGAAATATGAAGTAGATTTCTCATGTCTCACGCACCGTTTATTTGGATTGAAAATATTCCTATGATAAATATGTGAAAGGTTTAGCTGCAATGCACAAATGTATTATTAGCGAACATATTTCGAGTATTACTAATATATATAATCGTACACATAGGTAGGTACATATTTGTTAATATGAAAACAAATGGAGAAAGCATATTGTATTAAAACTTGATTTAATAACTTAATAAAACGAACTGATTGAAGAAAAATAAAATTAATATTTTGCAGGCTAATTTTATTGGAACGTTCAGCCAGCATTATTTCGCACCATAAATATGGTCGATGATTTTACACAATAGAAATACAGAATTAAATCTTAAATATGCGGTAGAAATTTATTTCGTAAAGTTACAATAATTTCCTGCGCTTTAATTTTAATTATAAACGAAAGAGAAAGCATTCGATGTGACAGCGTGGATACGACAGTATTGTTGTCTCGTTGGAACTTGTTCCACGCGGATTCTGCTCGATAGTCAGAATATGCTCGAATGTTTAAGAGGCAGATGTTAAGCGCGAGCAAGTGGCGAGAAAAATTCCATTTAAATTGTTCACTATCTGCATATTCGGTATATGCCGACTGTTGGAAAAATACGGAAGAATATGGCAAAGACGCGATTACGGTCTCTGTAGGATTAGATAAAATGTTCGTTTCGTCGAAACGATATTTCTTTTCAATGTTCTCTCGGCGAATGTAAATTCGCGTGTCTTCCCTTATATGCTCCCTTATATACCTGTATATGAACTACGACGTATGACCTACGACGTATGGATATGGTAAATAGAGACCGCTCTTCTCTCTCCGGTTCCATATGTATATCACCGAATCGATGAATTGTCGAATGCAATTCTCTACCACAGTTACATACCATCTTTTGTCTTTGTTGAAACCGTTTGTGATACTTTTCATTTAATTACATTCTTGCACGCGATAATTTTGCCAAGTGTAATCAGCTGTGAATTCGAAATACATGAAATACATGAAATATATAAAATATATAGAAAATCAATTGTAAAAAAAGGATTAGTCGCTGCTACGCTTCATTTTCTCTTGCAGAATGAATTAATCTATAACGTGAAAATAAAAAAAAAAAAGAATTAATCGCGGTAAAATGAATATGAATCTTTCTCTCTCTCTCTCTCGAGTCATTGCATACGTATGACTGCAATCATCGGTCGACGCGTTTTTCATTCTCCTATTGACATCACAGTTGTTCAATTATTAATAAATCGTGCCTGAAACGGAACACTGGTAGTGTCGCTGTGTATGCGTGAGCGCGCGCGCCAAGATCGATATTACATACACACTTACGTACACGTCAAACAATCGTTGTTTGTCGAATTTGAGGTAAAAAGGCCACACACCCTTAGACATTGCGATAAAAAAAATAATGGCAATTTATGTATATTGAGATCGCGATGTACAAACGCGATGTGCATACGTTGTGCGATTGATTCGCACAAGGTAGCTATTGAACGTTTGGCTAATCTCTGAGTATAACAACGTAATTACTGGTAACCATACCATACGCTATAATTTATGCTGTACTGTAAGCTAACGGGAATCGTGCAAAGTTAGTTGAATGCAATAACATCCGTAATCTCCTCGCTTTCGCGCTCCGCTAGGTATCGTAACTTGCTCGATGCGATGGGATTTCAATGTCAGGTAAGTAGAACGCTCGAGAGATAATTGCAGCTTACCTAAATGCAAATAGACTTAATATTGTCCGTTTCGTTAATTAATGGTACGATTTGTGTATCGTTACAACAGAAATAATGCCAGTTACAGTGTTTGATTAGGAAAGAGAGTTCATTTGAATTAAAAAGTTTGTAATTAATGTGGATATTCCTGCGTATATGTATTATATTTATTTAAATTTATTTTTATTTTCTAATAATATAAAATATAAATTGTATTCTATTATTAGTTACTATATAAATTTATTTTTAGATTCCGTTTATGTTTATTTTTGTTATTAAATGCACTGTATTCCTGTTTTTGCTAAGCAAAGCAATGTATGTTCTTATGATATATTTTTTAAATGTTATCTATGCATTTAGTTTTTTTTAATCTAATCATTGAACGATACACTTAAGCACTTTACATATAATATTAAATTATACATTATATATATACCATTATACTTTTTATAAAATTTAATATTGCATAATAACTATGTAATAAAAAGTTTTATATGGATATACACATGTATATACATATATATGATACAGTAATCTATTATGATCTATTCTATTCTTACGCATATCCTATAATTAGTTCTAAGTTTGGTATTGAATTAATTGAAGCTAGCTTTAGCGATATATGCACCGGCATATCCTCTCTCAAACGGCAATGTTCTATGACGCGTTAAAATCGTGTATAGTACGAGCCAATATTACATACTACATTCAAGCAATGCGCATTGATGATACACATTGATGCATCAGCCATATATCCCTACTCTTATGATGCGATTGATTTTTTACTAAAATCGTTTGTCCGCCGCTAACACCCAAACCATTTTGAGCTGACGAATTTGATGAGCTTTTGTCACGCGCTTCCAGTTAAAATGAGTTTTTCGCATCTCTCTGGCAGACAAATGACAGACTAAAACACGTATTCTGTGAGCTAGATTTTAACGTAATATTCCTATTATCTTTAATTTTATTGTTAAGCCACTTTACGTTCTGCAAGCAAGATAAAGATGTATTAAGCATACAAAAAGTAAATAAACACAAACTTGATGTTTTAAAAAGCTTTTGTTTGTAAAAA